GATCTGATACCACTACTTTCCATGCTGATTCTCAGTCTTTGGCCTGGCAGGAAAAGGGGCTTTATTTAGCAAACCAGTTGCTGTTTTTGTTTCTAGGTGATGATTTTAATCCACCTTTGCAGTTGCGGTATATCTTCTCTATCTGTTCGGGGCCACATATAAGTGCGTTGAGCAATGCAAGCATGAGGAGCATAGTCATAAAGGACTATGAGTTTGGCAGCTTTTTGTGATTCTAGCTAAGTGACAGTACTACAGCTTTGTCCCTCTGCTCTCAGTGCCTCTAAGCCAATTCCCTCCAGCATGGAAAAGGATCTGCTGCTTCATCTCAGCTACAGTTAATTTTATTGCCCGCTGTTGTGTGTGTCAGACTGACCTATAGTAGCATGCCGCAGACTAGCGCTTTTTCACATGTGAACGTCTACCCAGGGGTTTCCTGAGCGCCTGCTGCAATATAACCTGGTATTTTGGAGTCTAGAAATGCCTGTGAACTCCTCAGATCGCTTCTTCCCACTGACGAAGCTTTGAGATCCATCTGGTGTCAAGTGTAGGCATATGGCACCAGTATGGCAGCGCTGCCTACGGGGGTGGTTTCCTGCAGAAGAGGTCTCGCCGAATGCAGTAGTCGTTGCCTATTGAAAGTCATTATTGTTTAGCACCCAGGTCTTTGTGAACTTGTTCAACCGGTGGCTGGGCAGAGTGCCATCCGAATCTACGGACATGAGCACAGACAGCTGAGTCTCTGGGGCCTTACAGACATCAGATGTGGGTACTGAGGTCAGGCTTCTCAGTAGGGAGAATCCAAATGACTGTCTGTCCCAAGCATGTGTATCTGTGGTTGAAGGGATATGCCATCATTAATCCAAATCTGGGCCAGATTAAGCTGCTAAAATAAAAACCAGCTCCACCAGCCACTTGAAGAGGGTTCGGGGCCTGTTTGAGTCGAGCGCATCAGCGGGGAGGGAGGAGGCAGAGGCGGCTGAGCAGCCGCCATCCCCTTGCCCCTGTAGTGCTTCTCTCCCTTTGGCACGGGACGGGCTGACATCCGCCAAAGCAGGGCTCAGGGGTGCTGCCCTTGTCCCCTCAACTGCAGGCCTCTCTGAGGGCTGGGCAACGCTGATGTTTCTGAGCCCAGCCCTCTCTTTGTTCTTGTAACAGCCAGGAGCAGAAGCTTTCACATTTGGGGAGTGGGATCGCACATTTGCCAGACAAAAATCTCAGTTTGCCAGCCTGGGCCTGGCTCTCCCTTTTGCCTGGGCAGTGGTCCTGCCTGGAGCTGATTCAGGGTCGTTCGTCTGGCCCTTTGAGAGCTGCTCACCTCCGCAGACAGGCAGAGCATGCACAGGGGGTGAGGCAGCAGCACCAGCGTGGTGGCACCCACCAGAAAGCCGTCACGAAGGTACAGGAGTAGAAAATCTGGCTGGAAGATTGCAAAGTCAGAAGTATGAAAAGTGCTTTAGTGGAGGTGCTGAGAAAGCTAAGGAGAGACAGAAAAAGCTAAATCCAGTAGACTGTATTTGCACAGAGTGAGGAAACACCAGAGCATTAAGCTAAAGTGAATAATGAAATGATTTGCTGTACAGAGCAATTCAGAGAAATGACCAAACACTGAGGGTTACCTGGTTCTTGCAGGTCTCAACAACTTGCAGACACAGATGCTCTGTGACACCCATAAAAAAGATAATGCTGGGAATTTCCTATTCTAAATGCCACTTTTATACTCTGGACACTAAACTCCCTGTGGAATTGCCTTCTGACATGATGCCTCTTATATTTCTTACTGCACTGTTGCCATGTACTATGAAACTAGCTGCTTCTGTCCAAGCACCTACAGCAGGTAAAATATGCCAGACTGAATAATTGGGAAGCTTTACGGTCGTTATTGGAAAGTGCTGTGAGATTTCCCTAGAAAGGTGTGGTAGAAATGCAAAGAGGGTTGTGCTGTTATTTTAAAACCTGACCGTGCGCTGGTTCCTCCCCCTTTGAAGTCAGTGGCAAAACTCTGGTTTAGAGGAGCAAGACTGCTTGAATCGGCAAACAAGAGGCAGCCTGGAGGCAGAAGAGGCTTACAGGGAATGGTCTCTGTTGCTGTCCTCCAGCACAGAGCTGCTCAGACAGACTGGAGACCTGTGGACCGCTCTCTCCCATTAAGGCTATGAAATGAATGCTTTTAAGGTTGTTAAATGGATCTTACAGCCCTTACTCATCTGAGTACCGCCATTAACTTCAAGAAAATAATCACTTTATTAAGTGCTATGGAGTGGAGTCCTTGACTTGTTAAATTCTAATATTTGACAGAAGGTTTTCCTCGATAAAAAAATAATATTGACATAATTAAAAGGATGTGAACATTTCATCGGTTGAACAACGTGAGTTACTTTGGAGCAATACCTAAAACTGGAAGCAGCGCAGAGGCCTTAAGTCCGTGTCACGTCTGTAGGTTATTTTTGAACTTTATGAAAAACATACTTTAGCAGTTTATATCCTGACCATTGAACTGTATTCTGGGATTCTGAATTCAAAAACATGCTAACCATGAAAACACAACATTTAAAAATACACTGTCCAGTTGGCTTCTTCGCCCTGCTTCAGAGACTCCCGAGTTTGTTTCGGACAAACTGAGAACTTTGTTGTGGAATGACTGTTTGAATTGGGGTTTCTTAAAATACATGTGGAGCCTTGTAGCTGCTGCGGGGTGTACACAGTGGTGGAGCTGTACTATTTTAAAATCATCTGGCTATTTCACTTCATGTAAGAATATCTGTCAGCTTAGTTATAAGGAATGAGAGAGGTTGATTAAAACAACTCACGAAGCCATTAAACAAAGAGATAAAATGTAGAACATGTGCTGTAGGGTAGTTTTAATTATAATGTATGGGGGATCTGTGGAAACCGGATGGCAGCTGCATTGTAGCTGAGTTTTAAGCCCCTTTCAACAGTATCAAAGTCCTGTTACTCAGAGGTGGGTTTTCTTATCTGCAAAGCTAATAGGTCCTTCGGAAATGTTGTTTGGAAACTACCTTTTGTTACTACAACTGACCATAGTGTAATTATTATGCTCAAGCGCTTAGATATATATGGACTAAAATAGGCAATTATGTATACTAATCATCTAGTCATTAGCTACTAGACTGTATAACATCAGAGAAACGTATGCAAAAGCTTTAGTCAAGAAGAGAAGGGATCAAAGATGTCAAGTGAACAGCCACAAGAATCCAGAGAGAATGGGGAAGAAAAAAGGTAGCGCCAGCTTATTTCATTGTCTTGGCGATCTTATTAGGTCAAAAAACCAGTATTGAATATACTGCTGTATGCTAAAAGTATGTCTACTAAGTCAATTTAGCATATAATCTGGCTTTAAGAAATAGATATCGGGCAGCCACATTAATTCTGTAAAAACTGTTTAAACTTCACATTTTGCTTTATTCTTATTAACCTTGTTATAGACATCAAGAGTTAGCATAATTAATTCTAGTCCTACCAGAAGGGGTTTTAAATCTCTGGTGGAAGAGTTCAAACCAGTCTCTAGCCACTAGAAATAAGGACGAGAAGCAGTAAGGAAAGAAGACAACACATCTGCTCACATCAAAGTTTTTACAACTCCATCCACTCCTGCCAGAGACAGGGTCGTCAGCTAGGTAGACACTGGGTCTAGTTCAGCTTGGCAGCTCCTATGTTCCCGATTCAACAAAGTTTACTTAAATGTCTGCAATGCTTTTTATGCAACTGAAACAGGGTAGTTTAGTTAACCTTTTATCACTGAGTAAAATGGATTCACACATAGGAACATCACTACTTCAAAATATCCAGTCATTAAGCTATACCAAAGATTTGTTACCAAAACTCATTAAAAACAGCCAGAAAATTATGTTTTAAGAGTGCGACCTCTAACAGTGAATTTAACTTTCTGACCGTAATTGCCACAGCAGTTCATGTCTTGCTCTGTGGCTTGTAAGCATGGCTAAAACTGCCCATGAAAAAGATGACATTTGCTTCTGTTTGCAAACTGTCTGTATTAGTATGTGAATTCTCAGGAAATTATATGAATGCTGAAACTTTCACTTTCCAATTTGCATGAAACAAAGACATAACATCCAGGACCAATTATATAAAAATGCGAAATAATTCCTTAGAAAGAGGATGGAGGACCTGAAGGAGTTACAGCTTGTTGCTCTTGGCTGTAGCTTGTTGGCACTTGAAGGGTCTGAGGACTGTTCCCTTGAGGTCTTCAGATATTGTACGTAATTTTAAAGAGACCGGAAGGTGATAGTTGGGGTAGATACCCATCTCCATACTGGCTTGTGGGGCACTATACCAGATAACCAGGGTAACCATTACACCAGTCTCCCCAGCTAAAGAAAATGTACAAAAGCAACTCAGCTGTAATTAAAACAAGGGAAAACTCAGTGTAAAGGAAAGTGTGGTTCCCTCTGCTATTAGAAGAGGACATCTCTGTAGCAGAGAAATCAGTCATTGATCCAACAATGAGACGCAGCTTGTCAGCTGATGCTCTCAAGGCAGCACACCTTGAGGTGCACTTTGCAGGGTCTCTCACAAACTCACCTCAAATTGTTTGAGAGTTAAAATCTAGAGGAGCAATAGGGGAAAGGCTCTCCCTGATGGGAAATCATGGGCCAGGATGCCAACCTCTGTTGGGTTGGCATCTGGTCACTTGAAGTTCTCACTTTTGGAAATGAAATTAAGCACTTTTCCATCACTGTCATGGAGAGGTTATCTCAGGTTTCTAGCATCATGGTAAGACTCATCCTATAGTACATATTTTCCCTAGGACCAATGGAACTACACATTACAGGGTCAAAATTAGCTCTTTGCATGTGTCCTATTGGCTTTAGCAGAATTACTGGTGTGCAAGGAATATGAATAGAGGTCATGCAGTGATTTCTAAAATGCAAAATGCTAATTACAATATGCTTCCTTAAGGAGAGAACTGAAGATGGCTGACCATGTAACCCCTCTCTTCTTCTCTACCTGTTTTACTCCAGTCCTCTGTGATGTCTGTCTGTTTTGCCCGCTTTCACCCAAACCTGGTCGTTGGTGGAACATACTCTGGCCAAATTGTGTTGTGGGATAATCGCAGTCACAGGCGCACTCCGGTTCAGAGAACTCCCTTGTCTGCTGCTGCTCACACGGTAAGGATAAAAATCACCTCTTCATTCCTTAGAGAAAATGGTCAGCAGGGAAGTGGAGCTGTCTACAATGCCGGTTGCCACACAGATGAAAACAGAAGTGTGGCCCTTGAAGGGAAAGAAATAGATGAGAGATATGTACAACCACCTCTTGTAAGTGCTTAACCATCACTCTTCGTATGGTCAGGTCAGATTATCCTCCTTTCCAAGGAAGAGGGCAGGATCAGTTACAACACTCGAGTGAGGCCCCTTTGTGCCAGTGCAGTGGCAGTGTGACTCTTGCTCTCCGTTGCCCGTAAAGAGAGCCAGGTCACTACAGGGACTGTGTGTCTGTCAGTCCAGCGTGGCAGGCAATTTGAATCATTTAGTGTTGTCTTGTTGTATGCGAATTTCCCTTTTGAAACAGATTAGGCACCTATGGTGGTCTCAGTGGAGTCCTGTAAGTAGACACTGGTGCCCTTGAAGAGAGTGGGGCAGTTTCCTTCTGTTTTCCAGCAGAGCAATACATAAGTGCCTGTCATGGTCTCCTACTCCAGACAGGCCCACTGGGCAGAGCTTGCACAGTGAGGAGGAGTTTGTTTCAATAGAATGATGTGGAAGAGCATTTTGCCAACACACACAGATACCTGCAGATATAGTGATGGTGGCACAGGGCTCTGGTGATGTCTGGGAGACATACAGGCAGAGCAGTAGCACAAATGCCTGAGAAGAAAGAGACTTTCTTTGTGATACAAAGATGCTGTCTGTGGTAGAAGACTCTCTTACATTGCAAAGTACTCATATTGTGCTGGAGGAAGAGACAAGCCTGGATTGCCTACTAAATTGTCCTCACTCTGCTATGGCGCGACCTCCAGTCCATCCTGCACTCAGATGCTGTGCATTCGTGAGCTCTCCTCTTCCAGAGTTTGGGCTCAGGCAGCCTCTTCATAACAGCTGGGTGTACTCTATGGATGGTAAATGTATCTCATCTTGGCAGCGGGCTTAGGACCATTCCTGGATGAGAAGCAGAAAATACAGGCTGAAAGAAGGAGAAAAATGCAATAGCGTGATATAAGAATGCAGAAAAATGTAATTTCCTGAAACACAAGAAACTGAACTACACGAAGCACTCTGAGAGATAAGATAATAATCTTGTTCTAGCAGAGTGAAGGATCAGACAAAGTGATAGGTCTTTTGCACCTCCAGCTTTTACAATTCAGCGATTCTTATCTTTGGAATTTGCAGATCAAGGTTCAGCTTTTAGTTGACTGTGACAACATAATCCCTGGAGTTAAAAGACAAGGTCTAGAAGCCATGCTATGTGAATTAATGCAAAAGATTCAGTGTGGGGCCAGTATGATGATGGCGAGTCTGTTATATTAAAGAATGGCAGGTGTGCACAGACACACTTAGTGGGCCAGGCAGTACAAATATTGTTCCCTAAATTTCCACTATCATGAGTGTTGATGTAATAATGTAATGATCTGTGCCATGGGTTGCAACTTCAACATTGCTTTTCATTTCCCTAATGTTTTTGCTCATTTTGTCACCGGTAATGTTGTTCAATCTGCATGAAAAGAAACAGTCTCTCCTGGAAGTGCAATTTAGAGATGTAGCAGACCAGAAAACTAGTGGCAAGAAGCTGACTATCACTGAAAATTGAACAACTGGGATTTAAAATCTAGTGGAAAAGAAAAGATTAATGGGAAGTAATTTGTTTACACTCAAAAAAAAAAACGTTTGAGACAAAATTGTACCTCCTGGAATTATACATTAAACTACTTTTATTATTGCAATAGAACAATATGTGATGTTTCACTTTTGACAAATATAAATAAATGACTTTCAGTTGTGGATGGGCACTTTATGTGCTGTCATGGATTGGTATAAATAATTGTTTACACAGTCTAACACGAGGAAGCATGATGTTTTTAAAGAGCAATCAGATTTTACAATAAAAGAGTGCTTACTTTATGTTCATATATAGGATTCACTTACATAAACTGTAAACAAAGTCTTGGTTGCAAAAGGCTAGCTTGAATCCTAGCTGCCAAGAAAAAAAAAAAATTAAATTAAGACAACTCTACTGTGTCAATGTTACTTTATGTACTGCTAGATACGTGAGTTGAATAGTCATTTTTTAATTTGAACTTATAATGCCATATGTGAAAAAAGGATTTTTCTCTTTTCTTTCTCTCACTTTGTTTATTTGAAACAGATAGAGTGGGTTGTTATCACTGACTTAAACCTTCCTGGAGTTCAGTATCACTGGTTGCCGCCTGGATTCACCAGGGAAGAGAATTCTACCCGCAGCTTACTCACTAATTTCCTTTCACACCCACCACACATCTGCATTTGGGACAACAGGAAATTTTAATTAAGACAAAACCGTTTTGCATGATGATTTCATTTCCAAAATAAATAAAAGCAAGCTGGCAGCGACCCTTTGAAAGGAAGGAGCCTGTTTAGACTTTCTGTTACATACAGTTGGTTGTCTTTTCCATCCATTTTCCTTACATCTTTTCATTTCGGCCGTTAGTTTTATTGTGCATGAAATTGATGACTGGTAACCCTGATTAAAGCCAGACCTGGGCCACTGAGGTGCTGCTGGAACGACATGGCTCACTCTCTCCCTCCCCCTCTAAATATTCTAGATACTCGGCTGCTTGCTTTAGCTTCCTCCCACCCCCTCTGTCCCTGCCTGTTTGGACTAGTGGTGGTCAAACACCCATTAAAAAGTAGGACTGTACTTAATTTCACATATCAGTATGTGCTAATCATATTTAGCGCTGGGGTCATTAGCTCACCGCTAAGCATGAAGAAGGTCCATCGTATGAGGGTAATAGCGTGAGATACATGAGGACAGGCTGGGGTCCATTTGATCATCTGGGGGACACCAGGTGCCTGACAATCTTGCGAGGAAGAGAAAAATCAGTGTCAGAATTGAGACTTACTGGTGTGTACAGGTGGCCTCCGAGCACAAGGTACCGTTTCAGCAGTGATTGCTAATGAGTCCCTTTCCAGTGTGTGCATTCAGGTCCTGCCCTTTTGTTTGCACTTAGAGGCAGGGGCATTTACTGGGCTCACTCAGGTATCAAACCTGAGAGCTAGCCAGTGCTCTGAAGATTTCTGCCTTTCCATGCTGACTGGGTAGGTGACCTGCAGCTGGATCTTAAAGTAGTTTAAAATAAGTGGTAGTTCTGCCATTTCTTTCAGCGGGAGCAAATGCTAGGTTTCTAACCCTACATGCAGTTGGCTTCGAAGCTCTATAGGGATCTCTTGTAAGTTGGTCCTAATTTTCTTTGAATAAGGAAAGTATTAGTGAAAAGTATTTTTTCTTCCTGGAGACGCAGGTCTTCTATTCATCGGCAAAAGAGGCAGAGAAATACAATTTTTCTTTGCTTGACTTGTGTCTATGTCTTACCCTTAATTCAGCCATATGACTTGTACTGGTCAAAGGAAATTAAATCTTATTGTCCAGTCTGACTGATTTTTCACTCTGGTGATTGCTGAATGTGAACCATCCCTCATATGTCACCATTAGCTATCAGGTGACACTTCAGGCTCAAAATGTTACCAGGTTCCTTGGAAAAGGACTAGGCCAAGTTTCATTATTGCGTATTGCAATGTGTATCACATTGGAATTCAGCCTCCATGGAATGACTATACTATGGTGAACCAGGTGTAACACCCTAAATTTAGTCATTCCACATTTGTAACGACAGATCTAAAAAGGTACCTTGGCCAATGCTGGAGAATGCTGATGGACTTGTTCATGTTTTTCAACTGGAGTACTTTTGCAAATATTTAGCATGCAAGCCAAATTCTGGAAAAGTTCAAGTTTTACGCAGCTGTTTTCTTGAATAAAGTTTTCATTTTGATTCCATTTGGACAATTTGCCTCTTTCTGCCGGTTATTTTCAGTGTCAAAAGACACCAGTAGAATGGTACATGTCCCAGTGGGTGAAATCTCATCCACATAATTCAGTATTTTCACAGCATTACTCAGCTGGATTGTTTTATTATGACAAAAATGAAACTTTGAAAACATTTCCACCTCCATAACATACCTCTTAAAACTTACATTAAAATAAAACCAAAACAATTCCTATCTGGTCAAAGCCAAGTCCTGTATTTTCCAGGCATTATGTGCCTACTTAATCATTCTTTAAAATAACATAGGAGACGTTAGAAATTTGTTCGTGAAGATGCGAGAATGGCTCTCTGACTTCCCGTGTTAATGTGTTTTCAGCATCCCGTGTATTGTGTGAATGTAGTTGGAACACAGAATGCGCATAATCTCATTACCGTCTCTACGGATGGCAAAATGTGCTCCTGGAGCCTGGACATGCTCTCAACTCCACAGGTGGGTTTGTTTTCACCTATACAGGAAAAAAATGCACCTTCGGTAGAGCAGGATACCTGCTTAATGGAACTTAGCTCCTAAAAGCCAAAACCTCACCGTCCTCTACAAACTAAAACCAATGGATGCACTTGAAAGAGTACAGCTTGCTTCCAGCAGTCTCTGCTAAGAGCCAAAACCCATTTCCTTTACCACAAATCATGTAATTATTGTAATACGTTAATACATAGGTCAGTTTCAAGTGAAAATGAAATAATCCATTTTAAAGCAAGGTAATTACAGAAGTCGCCTGTGGTATAAATTGTACTTATTCTACAGCGTTGTTTAACAAATATGGACTAGATTGCACTGCTGCTGCACACACCCTAGGCGCTACAGGTTTCCAAGGCACACAGTCAGAAAGCTTACTTTGCTGCCTGCCTGCAGTAGCCAAAGGAACAAACAATGCAAATCCAAAGTTTGGGGACTAATTTCCCCCCTCTAGAATGTTTGCTGCTGTTGTCTTTCCCCCTCTCCTCTCTTTTGTACTAGAAATGAAAGGAAATCCAGGAAAATTGTCCAAACGAGTAGTGATTATAATAATGGAATCTAATCAAAGACTCTGATATTGAAAAAAGATGCATGGAAAGCATCTTTTAAAGTGTTATCTTCTGGAGTAGTGCATTTTCTATTCCAACACATCACTGATTTTGTATACATTATTTCTTAGGAAAAAATGCTGTAGTATCATTTTTGCTAAACATCGTGGGATCTGATCTTGTTTCAAAATGCTGCGTAGAAACTCCCTTTAATGATTCCATTAATCATGTATGAATGTGCAATTAATACTGAATTATTTGCTTTTCAGCCTTGACATAAGAAGTGGGACTCCTCTATCCTAACCATAGCCGTCTAAAAGTTAGGTCTGTGTCAAGGCTAAGCTAGTCATTTGAGTTCCCTTTACAGTTAATGTAGAGAGAGACTGGCCACTTCTGGAGGATGACTCCTCCCATCCCAGTGTGAAATACCATTTTGGATACCCCGGGGTTTAGAACTGCCAAATCTTAGGATGGAAGGGGCTTCTGGAAGTTAGTGCATCTAATCCCCCACTCAGATTGAGGCCAGCTTCAAAGTTAGATCATGTTGCTCATGCTCTTCTGAGGCAATGCTATGGATCTGGTAGTTGTGTCCTGGGACTATAATAAATCAATACTCTTCTGGAATAGAAGTGGGGGCATCTAAAATGGCTCAGACATCTATGTTTAGGCATCTGAATCCCTTGCCCAGTTTCTCACTTAAATATCAAGAAGATAAGTCCCACCCTTATGTATTCACTTACTGGAATGCTAAATTTTGAAGCAGAGATTTGTGAACATCTCAGTTCCAGTATTTCATCACTCAGATGGAATTTCCCAGCTCCAAAACTGGCTTTCAACAAGGATGGGAACACACCCCACATTACACTGAAGTTTGTCGCATGGCTCGTGGTGATCTAGAAAAGAGAGGCACAGAACATGATGTCAAGCTACATGCCATAGCTTTAAACTGGGAGGAGTAGAGCGTTGCTGATGTGTGTCAGTCCGAAACTTGCCAAAGACACAGAACTAGAGCACTCATGAACAGGGAGTCCACCACAGTTTCTGGCCGTGTCTCCACAGAGACACTACATGATGATCTCACCCCAGAAGTTTTTCACAGAAATATATGGTCCACAGGTGCTCTGCCAATGCATTTTCCAGGTCTTGTTTTGCCTTTTTAATAGAGACAAATGTATTTCAAAGAAAAGTATAAACCAAGCAAAAGTATTTCTCTATGGATTTGCAGCCCTCTCCTCTCAGAGGGATGCCCACTTTCTTTAGCTACAGCAAAAAGCCCTTCTGAGAAAATGCTACAGGCTTTGGCCCTGGAAGAATAGCAGCTTAGACATCTTAAACATAGAAGACATACTCACTTAAATAGCTAAAAATGGAAATTGCTAAACCATTCAGCCCCTTTATGGATTCTTGAGTTGTACCATTTGGGCTGACCAAACAAAAAGTTGTGCAAAATCTGCTCAAAGTGTATGCATCTTGCAATGGCCACAAACTGTTCTCGCTGGTTGTACTCGCAATAGCAAAAATGGGCATGCTGATTTACTTTGAAATATAGCTACCAAATAAAAATGGAAAATATGCTTGCTGGTTTGTGGCTTGATGGTGGAGTCTAGAGGGAGTGTTCATAGTTACCTCAGAAAATCCCTGAAAAGCAAAGCTTAGAATGGTGGTAATTACAGGACCCCAACTTTCTAATTTTGTTCTGCAAAGGGACAAATGGCACAGTCTGATAAATGCCTCAGGTGCACACAAGATTACACGTGTTTCCTGACAAAAAATTGATTTCAAAAATGTTTGTAAATAGAAGGGTATTGCATGTTTTATTAGAGCCTGGGGCTGGCAAATGTAACCATTAAGGTATTATCTTCAGTTTCCGCACCATTAGATTTTAAATTCTCACCTGTCATCTCTGTCTGATTTAAGATGATGTAGCAGAGACCAGTGCCTTCCAGCCACTCTCAAATGCGTGACGGACAGTGGCAGGGATGGCAGGAGCAGTGCATCCTAGTTTGTGACGTTGCATCTTCTCGCAATACCTTATGTAGAAACCAAAGTCCTGTGGCTGAGTCAAATGACTTCTTCCCCCCTGCTACCCTGTGTAACATTTAGAAATGAATTAGCAAAAAAGCCCAACCCCAGCCAAACAAAAGGATGGCTGCAGAGTAATAACCAAGACCTGTTTTGGTAGGAGAGCATGGAGCTGGTGTACAATAAATCCAAACCAGTGGCGGTTACAGGAATGGCCTTCCCAACCGGAGATGTCAATAACTTTGTGGTTGGCAGTGAAGAGGGAACAGTCTACACAGCCTGTCGTCATGGAAGGTGATGTTTGGCATTTTGTACTTAAATAACATTGTGTACCTGTGTTGGCGTGAGGTAGCCAAGTGTGCGTGGAGACTGTTTCATTTTTTTTCTCTGGGATCAACAGCGTCTGTGCTGTTCTGCTTCACACCACTAGGATGCGAGTCGCCTGACTTTGGGCATCTGCGCTACAGCCCTTTGCACTGGGGTAGCTGCCCCACGCTCCCTGGTGGGGAGCAATGACTGCTCTTAGGGTTTGATTTCCCTCACCTCTTTCAGACATCTGCTTGAAGAAGAGATGATTGGCATCTCAGAAATGCCTTGTTTCTCACCCGTGAGGTGAGACGGAGGTCTAGACAGCTAGCTAAGATGTAGGTGTATATGTCTGGGCAGGCCAAGTCAGGCCCTAGGAGACAGTTTTGTTGCAGGGTTGTTTGCCTAAACCACTCATAAGAGATGGTAATCCACTTTCTTTTTTACCATCCTCAGCTCCATCTCCAGTCTCCACAGGCATACATCAGACAAATGCCACCATGGGCACACCTGCGTGTGAGAAAGAGAGCACGTGCGCCCCGATGCACGGCCATCCAGCACCGGGCATTCCCAGGCAGCACCACAGGCTGCATCTGGCTAGAGACTGAGCACCGCTGGCACCTGCTCTCGGTGGGCATTTTGGACGCACCCACCCTCTCCCGGAGAGCAAGAGAGCTTTGTTGTACAACCGGGAGCCACACCACACCGTTTACCCTCAGTCTGGGCTGCTGCCTGGTTTATTTGCTAACAGGGACGTAGCCACAGCGTGCCACGCAGATGCACGAGCTCTGGCTGACCCACTCCCCAGGACTGGTACCCTGTGCTCCCTCACACGTGGTGGTCACATCCCTTCCTCACAACCCAGACTCTGGTTTAATACTGCAAGTTCCTTATTTTGCACCCTGTCAGTCTGCAGGATGCTTGCATTCTCTGTTAGCTTCTGGCAGTAGTTTCATACTCTGGAATGCTTGTAAGGTTTTTGTAAGGAACAAACTTTTTTCACTAATAGATTTAAAGCTCACCCCCATTCTACAATAGTTTGCAATATTCTCTGAATTATTTTTTTATTTTTATTTTATTTTCTTGTTTTGTTGACCAAATAGACATTGTAAGACTTCTATCACACGTTCCTAATGTTGGATAAGTACTGTTTTACATATATTTTGTTCAAAATAATTTTTATTTTAAAACCTTTTTTTTTTTTTTTATTTTAGCCTGACTGCTGATGCTATTGCAACAGTGTGTCTGTTTAGGTATTACACTGATAGGCTGTGTGGCACCTGATGGTTTGAATTAGGCTGCTGTGACAAATGAAGCGTGCCCAAGGGCACTTCTCACTTCTGATCTTTCAAACATGCCTGGTTTGTCCTTCACAAGAGGAGTAAGGTGCCAGATCCTCTCGTTAGCTCACCTTTGTAGCAAACCTGCTGACCATCAATGAACACACTCCTTTTCTGCTCCTGCCAGCCTTCCCCAGAGCTTTTTGCTATCATCATCCCTGCTTCATTTCCAGAGGCTCCTTTGTCCTTCAGCCCAGCAAACATTATTCTGAAAAAAGGTGTGTCAGAAGCGCAGCAGATGATACACAAGGTGTTCTCAGTGCTCGAGAACTCCCCTGATCCCGACGACGACGTGGCAGACAGATGGGGATGAAATAAGAGATGTGCTTTGTACCCAGCACTGCAGGCAAAAAAGCAAAGCGCCTGGTTGCAGAGGCACTGCAGAACTCAGCCCCTGCTCCAGCACCTGCTGCAAGGGCTGCCAGTGGAGCCTAAGGGTGGCCATGCTCTCATGGTCAACAAGAGAGGTGAGGGGACACCACACTCGCAGTATGAGGGACCAGTTTCCTCCAGTGCAGCTCCTCATCTCTTTGGGTATGCTGTATTCACACTGGCACAGGGCTGGCAGCCTTGTCAGAGCTGTGGCTAGTTTTAATGTATTTTCTTCCATTGGCAATTTTTCTGTAATGTAACTAAAAGGGTAATTTCATGATTCCCCTTTTTGTATACACCATGAGACAGCACTGACAACTGATCTAGCATCATTTGCTTCCAGGAAGAAGAAAACTGCGCACATTCTCTCTTACACAGCACTGTATTTTTCCTCCCTAATAGCTATTCCAGCCTCAGGCGATGAAATGCACATCTCCCCTTATTCGAAGTAATGACTGTATGACACCTGATCACAGGAACGGTTCCTGCGCTTTTTGTGAAAAAGGATTTGCTTGCTTGTGGCTTGATTGACTGCTGTGGAAAGTTATTTTAGATATTTAGAAGAAAAAGAATTGCTCATGATAAGTCATTAACATATTTGCATTTTTATTTTAATGGTTATTCCTTGTGATAATTGCTTAGAGGCATAAGCTATAGTATAATTATAATTTAGAATTATTTTATAATTATACATAAATGTTGTTTCAAGCTACAGTAGTAGAGAGTGTATGTAAAAGTGAGTAAGGCAAATCTTCAGAAGTAAGAGAAAGTCTCCCTGTGCTGGATCCTGAGCATTAATCGTGCTCACAGCAGTAAACCTCTGCAGGCAAAGGCCTTACTGAAAGGAGAGAGATTTACAGATTAAATGGAACTTTAAAAGGAAATGGGAACCTCAGAGTAAAGAAATATGATGGTAAATCACCAGATGTTAAATCACTCTCTGAATGCAAATGTCTCTTCTTCCTGCAGTAAAGCTGGCATTGGTGAAATTTTTGAAGGCCACCAAGGACCCGTCACAGGAATCAATTGTCACATGGCAGTGGGTCCAATTGACTTTTCCCATCTCTTTGTGACATCATCATTTGACTGGACAGTCAAGTTGTGGACGACAAAGGTGAGAAATCTGAGCTGGGATGGGATGGGTAATGCTACTTGTGAAAATGCTGTTGTCAGAAATATTTCAATATTGTCTATATCAAGTCCTAAGGATCAATTAAGTGAAAGGCTGTGCTTAGAAGAGGTGTAGTGATAAAATTATAAGTAAAATATATACCGATTGTAACTGTGTCAACCATATTCACCCTGGAGTACACACTGTGCCCTTTAAAGGTAGCTTCAGCTGGCCTGCACTTCAGTATTAACCCTAGTACTGAGCAATTTCAGTAGACAAGGACATGTCTTTTACTGCAAGTCATCAAACAATCCATCCAGCACTCCCTGTGCAAGCTAAATTGCAAGGCTAATACTATGTACCATGGTGGTGCAGCAGCAGGAACACTTTGTTCTGATGAAGCAACAGGGGAAGCACAGATATGACTTAATGTAATCAATATCGCTTATGAAATTTATTGCTGTAGGAGGTTGTGATAGCCAAAAAGTATAAATTGTCCCAATGACATTAGACACGGATGGCTGGAAGCAGGGAGAAAATACATGCTGGAACTTACATTCATGACCGCAGTGGATCTGTTGCTGACTACTCTATGGACGTGTCCACGTGACCGCTTGCAGGGAGAGCACTGTGAACCACGGAAATGAGTACACAACCCTGTGAAGCTTTGAAACCCCAGCACCCCGTAGAACTGCATGAATATGGGGTAATGACAGCATGAATAAAACTGTGGGACAGACTAAACAGACCAACCTCTTTCATTGGACAGGCTGAGTAAAACAGGAGAATGAGAGGTAAAATCCTAATTATATGTCATCTAAACAGTTATGTTTGTCATAGACCAGAGTAGAGAACGCCTTCCAAATGCCAGGCTTTTGTCCTAATGGTGTCTTTATGCCTGCGTTTGGTTCACATCTTGAGCTGCACCCGGCAGAGTTCCCGTACTGGAAGTTGACCCCGGTCAGGAAGTATCTTAGCGTGTGTTCCTCCAAGACATCAGGGCTTGGAGATGCTAGGACAGATGTACAGCAAATGTAAACACAGAAGTGATCAGAAGGGCTCATGTGACAGCCTTGTGCTGGACACAGAAGCACAGTTATCTAGATAATAACTTGAATCAGCCTCCATAGTAGCTTCAAAATGCATTTGTTAATGGCCTGATCCAATGTGCATGCTAATTAACAGGTATATACAGTGGCCACAGCTGATGGTTTTGTCTTGACCGTTACATTTTAGGGAACTTGTTACGAGGAAGGTGCATGATTTGTCTAATTTGCATGCAACCATACACATCAGTGGACTCAAGCCTTAACCAACGCAGAAGTGGTCCAGGGGAGTGGTCATGGGCAGGCTGGAATGGGTCTGGGATGGGTCCTAGGTGGTAAACGTTAGAAAGGGCTGCAGGATAACTAAGGGATAGAGAGCTTAATTGATAGCTGTTTGGGGCTGGCTAGGCTGTTTGGTGTCAGAGATCAGGGAGTCCTGGACGGTGGTAGCGGGTGGCAGGGGAATACTGGAGGGCTGACGTTGAAGCTGAGTAAGGGGAAAAGAAAGGGGGGCTAAGGGGAAAATGAAAGGCAGGTACAGAATTCCAAACATACATGTCCAGAAAAGTCTAGGATCAGTATCAGACCCTCAGCTTGAGGTTGAATATGGCAATAAGGTTTCATCCATCTGCAGCTTAAATGAAAATATATTAAGGAATAATAAGGCCTGGTTTTTATTTTAATCTCCTAGGATTTTAGCAGTTAGTGGTAACACTAACACAGCATATTTTGGGCACAAAGACACTGCAGTTAGCAGTACACAGTTATCCTTGTGGAAGAATTCAGTGCCAAAAAGGTTAGGTCAGATTCTGTTCAGTGCAGTCACTTTTCAAAGAACTAAACCATTTAAATTTCTAATATCTATCAAGCTGTGGCTCATCTGGCAAGAGGGGCTTCCTGAGAAAGCCGTTTGACCTAGCTGATGTGAGCTGTGATGTGCATGTGACACACCACAGCACCAGTCAGAGCCGGAAGCCGCATTGCTGTGTTGGATCCCTTGCTTTCTTCTGGAGCAGGTTTGAGCAGCAGCAGCCCCAGGCTGCTGCACTGCCAGCCACTGCCCTGTGAAGACATCCTCTGGGACACTAAGCAAGTTCTTGAACTGTGATGAATGTTTACTTTTTCCTCCAATTTGACTCCGGCAGAAATTTCTTTCCATACTGTCTGGATAATTCTCTTGGCTGGAGCTGTTACATATTTAGGGCTTGCTTTGTTCAGTTCCTATAGTCAGGGCATGGTCAGTGAGTGGGCTTTGAATAAACCCATCAGCATGCTTGAATATCTGAAAAAATAGTGGATTGATATGAAGCATTGAGTGCTACTGCTGGTTTATGAGAGTTTACTCAGAATTGGTTGATTCCTTTGGTTTCTTATTTGTAAATTTAATCTCTATCAGCATTCAGTGCCATATTGCTTTCCTGCTTCTACCAGTGTTGTCTACTTAATCCTGTGCACATTATCCTCTTTGGTCATGAAATTCAATTCCTTTCTGTTTCACAGGTTCCGTGTCAATGTCCAATTGTAAAGTGAACCATAAAAGCTCTGTGTTCATATTGTCTATTGATGTTCCGTAGCACCCTGGGGTGCTTACAAGAAAGGCACTTTCATAGCAGGCATTTGACTGATGGATTGAAAGCACTGTCTCCCTTAAAAACTCTGGCTTGACATTTTATAATCTGTTTTTGTGGTTAACACATTTTCTATCCAAAGGCAGTTCAACCAGGTGACTGAGAATAAGGTTTTCACTAACAGAAGAATGAAGGTTTTGTAGATAACTCTAATACAAGGTTCACATTATCACCCATCACATTAGCCAGCAATTAGATCCCTGGGTGAACAGTCGGCAACCAGAAGCAAGAGGAAAAGAAAAGTAATTTGCAAAGATAGTCGCTTGATAACCAGGGCATTACCTGGTTCCTGATGAAGTCAATAGGGCTTTCAACTTGAATTCATGCCATATGAGCAAGTGTTGGATGCAGAGCTCTGAAAGGGAAGTCCTGATGCGAAGTGTCTGTGGAGCTCTGCCCTTAATTAGGTATTGTCTGTACGATGCTTTGAAGAGGTAAAGCACTAAGTGGAAATGCTAAGTGTTGTTAATTAATTAAGCACTAATCCTCATGAATGAATAGCATGAGGTTAAATAATGAAATGTAAGTATTGTTATTATTATAGAAATTGCTGTTTGGAGTGGGAATTTTTAGATATTGTGTCAAGGGACAGGAGCTAGCTTGGAATTGTTAAAGCATAGCAAAACATCAGCTAGGTTCAGCTACAGCCTACAGATGGTTTGTTTGCTGCTGAGGGAGTTCATAAAAGTCTGGATTGAGAGCTGGAGTTTGTTAACTCTCATCCTTCACGTCTCCTTTATCTCTTATCCTTCTACTGAGGGGAGGTGCTAATGACTGTGTTTTTCTCCTCTTGCATCTATGCCTAAGTTATGCTCAGATGGGCAGCTGACGAGAAGAGAGATTGGGATAACTGTAACAGCATTGCAGTATCCCCATCCATTCTTATCTCCCTCTTTGCCTAATATTTAAGTAATGGTGGTGAGTGCCACAATAAGAAGTGAGCAGATTGGTAGTAGGACCACCACATAACCATTAGCAAGGACTAATCGAGCCAGAGGACATGTGCGCCTTCAGTGATGGACTACCTCCTTTTGTGTCCCTGCTCAGCTTTGCCTTACTAGCATGTGCATCAGTGGTAGCTCCTTCCTAGCCTCTCTCCTGTGTCTTCTCTTTCTTTTGCTCTTCACATGCTGCTCTCTTCTTTCGGTGTCCTGTGTTGCTCCAGTGTGCAGTCTGTTGCACCTTTTGAGAAACCACATTTTAAACAGCAAAATTCACATTTCTGCGCTATGTGTCTTCACGTGTATTTTTGTACCTTCAATATCTTATGTCCATCTGTTTGCTGATTATCTTGGTATGACCCAGTCCTCCTGACTCCTCGACTAAATTATTTTATCTTGCACTTTTGTACTTTCCTACCAGCACATAACTTCAAACTTCACTGGTTTTAATTTGGTTTAGAGGTTGAACACTGTCTCCTCAGAGGTCAAGCTGAAATCTATCACTAGAACAAAGCAAAGAAGCATGTGGTGATGGTGTTGCTAAGACAGGTACCTCTACCCCTGCAGTGCCCTCCCTCAAATGCCTGGCTGATAGGATCTGACAGGATCAACTTGATAGACCAAACTTACTGTGACGGAAAACAGTGTAGCAGAATGAATCAGAGCATTATATGATTGTGTGGATTAGTCACCAAGAAAACAATGCACTCACAAATGGGCAATTTTTAAGATTTACTAAAATAACAGAGTCATGTCATCACTTTTTTTAAGTGACTTTAAGAAGTTACAATTTTTACATTATGTATCAAGATATCTGTTTACTGGCTTAGATTTTTTCTAGTGTAATTTTAATCACATTAAGTGAGAGCCTCTTGCGTTATAGATAGCATTGCCTGACGTTAAAGATCCAAAGAGAAATGCAGTCAAATATTATGCATGATAAAAGGACAGTTAACTTTGTGAACTATTGCAACAACATGGTAAATTCTCCCTCATGAAATTTTTTTTTAACTGTAATTGGAAATGCTGGAATTAATGACTTGATTTAGTGAGGTCCCGTGGCAGGTGATTAGAGTGGATCACAGATAAGAGACACTGATATTAGTGGTTATTGGTATATAGCATTCCCCTGCCTTATGGAAGATGTTCCTATTCCAGTGAATATGTAATTATTTATGAAGAGTGTAGGAGCTCCATGAAAGTATCCCGTAAGCCAGTGGTTTGGGCACCAAGCCACGCTGAAAAGGTCTACCTAAGTGGGACTGGAACATGTGTCTTCCCTAAGGGGAGGAAATGCTGTAATTATCTTGCCATTTTGCTCTGAGCAGTATCTTGTGCCTATGAACAACTCTGGTTTCACTGAAAGTAGGATCTTCTTGGAATAAAGC